CATTGAGTTTATGCAAGTAGTGAATCCAGGCAAACGCCATCATTCACAGGGAACGGCCTAATTAGAACCATATAAACTCGAACATAGATTGCTCGCCTAATGGGGGAACTTGAAATCCGGGATACGAGAATCCGTACATACATCGCACCTATAGCATACCTTCGTACCAATCGAAAACTTTCGAGATGTTGAGCGAGATCCTGTGTTTCTCCGTTATCACGATGTTTGGCGATCACGATTGGGAGCACATCACTGGTAGAACGACTTTCCGAAGCCGCACTGACTGTCGTTCAATAGCTCTTCAAGTCTAAGGAACACGAGGAGTTCGTCTGAGAAGATGGGTTCAAATAATTTCGAAAGAAGAGATATGCAGGAAGTCGGACGATAGAGATCAACGTAAAAAAGGAAATGAAGTTCGAAACTACTGAAAATCACAGCAATTTTACAGGGTCTTCGGGAGAGACAGAAAGGATGATGTAAAATAGGAGTTACCATGGGGGCACAACTTTCAAGAGGATTGTTGCTCTGCTCTCCAAAGGGGGTGGTTCGAGTACGTTCACAGACCACTGCGTCCAACGGATCTTTCCAGTGTCGACACAAATCGAAAAGAGGAGCCGGTGGAGATCAAATCCGAAGGAATGAGATAATGGGATACGATGGAGTCGGAGGCAAACTGGCAGCCAAAAATCGTGGTTCACATACTAAATCACCAGGTAAATTACCGACGGGGAGAAATCGGAAAGTTCGGTAGTATGTAAAAGTGCTTCGTCTAGAAACCCAACTATTCGGATTCCGGTGGCAGACGAGACTAAGTGTTGGCTTTGTTAAGCATAGTTGAAGGATACTTTCCCTAACTTACATCAGATGGTGCTTTGAATTGGACTAGGACTAGCATTCGTCCAGTCACAAAGTACGCTATCCAGGCATGGAATCCATGGCTACAACGTGATTGCAAAATGCTGTAGCGTCCACAAGGATGGCCACGAGAATGGTTGCATCGCAGAGAGACTGGAGTCCTTGGGGTTATATTCTAATCACTACCGGTGCATCCGAGGATACATGATTGTGATATACCAAATAATGCCAAACCCAAGCCATTCGTGTCGCTCTTTACTAAAATGATCACCCAACGTTCATCCTAGAAGACATCCGTTCAAACTAGTCGTCTCAAAATGCCGATTAGATTGCCGGCATCATTCATTCGCAGTCAGAGTGTGTTCGATCTTGAACTCTCCCACCCCACGTCTTCTGTGCGCCAAGCATTGAATCTTTCAAGGTGAGACTTGATGAAGCATTAGCACACCTTACATTCCAACATTAGCGAAGCTGCCTGCAGCAGTGGAAGAAGCACGTATCTTGTGACATCTTACACAAGAAATTTTATGTCTCACCATCTTTTAAACCACAACACGAACCCACGGGTCGAGGAAAGTATGAGCTTGTAAGTTATTCCCATAAGAAAACTTTGAAACTTTGAAGATCCCCTTCCGGTTGGGGAATTGATTGTCGCCCCCATCTTTAAAAGTGTCCCGCGCAATGACTGCATCAACCTAAAGGGCATAGACCCAATCCCAATAGCACCAAAGCTACTAACATCCGTCGTTCTTCCTGGATTGTTCATTAAAATACGATGGGTAGATTTAATCAGATTCTTTTTCACCGCTAGACAAAAGACCTACTAGTGGGATGTTTTTTGGCGAACCGAATGGACAGGGTGCGATTGAAGTTGTCATAAATATCATTCGTCCTTCATAACTAACAGTTACATTGATTATTTGGTCTGTATCAATTTTACAACATCAAACATTTGAAAAAAAATTGTTGGTTCAAACAACGGATCAGAACAATTTTGCCGATGCATACTCTCATACAAACATTTGATTGTTTCCCGAACTTTTTGTGTACATAAAGCATAGAGCAAATATGGGAAGTTTACATACAAGGAACCTATTGCGAGAGGTGGACAAAAACAACAATAACGTATACACACTACTTGCTATTGTTATGATGTGGCGTGTAGGTGTGAAAAATTAATCAGAGCTCTGGATCTCACAGATCGCGTTAGACTTCCTGATTTAGAATTTTGTGGCCAACTTGGTCACTAGTTAGAGAATCTTATCGATATCGTTGATATGGTGTCGTCATCCGTGGTCAGCGTGTATCTCCGGACCGTTTTCACAGATCTGTTAGTCTGCCTCAGTTTTTTCGTTTTTTATTTTGAGTGCATAGTTCACATCTTAAAGACAGCAACCAAAACCACTACAACACTTCCTTAACTGAAATTGTTTGAATCCTGATGGTTACATGACAGTAGCACTATAACTGCGTTTTCAGTGAAAATCGATGTGTTTAAACATCTCCAGTTTCAGGCATGATATAATCCGTGGAGTGTGCAAAAAACACAATTTGAAAACAAAGTGACATGTTAGAACAGCTAGAGGTGTCGTTAATCAAATCACGATAACGGGGTTTGATAACCACTTATCTGTGCTAGTTATCGGAAGAAAAGTGTTGGATAGAAGTGCAAATTTTGGACTTGAACCGGAAAAACAGGTGAAAGCCGATAAGAAAATGACAAATGACCACTGGATAAGAGTTAAAACTACTTGCCAGATAACATCATTGCATATGGAATGCTTTGGTTGGATTAACGAAAGAATTATTTGTTTTTTTTTTGAGGAAACTCGGATTCGAATCATTCTTCTGGATTCTAAAGTTCAGAGATTTTATATATGCCGTTGGTTAATGACTAGGCGAATGATCAGAAGCCATTTACACAAAATTACAGCGCTAAATAACATCTTTAGATGATTCGCATCACACATATGGAATAAATCAATGAATAGATAAATAGTTTTGTCCCAAACAGGATGATATTGTGCATGGTTTCCAGTAGAGGACTATAGCTTGACAGATTGGTTCGAAAACTGTGTGAATCGTTCCTACATGAATAGACAGAGCCTGCGTGGGCAAAACATGTATGACAACAAGAAGTGGTCGATGAAGGTTTGTAAATGAGGAGTCATAGTCGGCGAATATACAGAGTACACACAATGTGCCGGTTCTCTATGACTATAGGAACCGTCTTCAACGCATTGTTTGTATTCAGTCCGCCACAAACCAAATGTTTCATTTTCATTGTGACAATCGTTTGTCTTACGTACACTACACTATCAGTGTGTGTAATTGCGTATTTAATAGAGAATTGTGAAGAAAATAAGAACCTTTCCCCATTACACCACGTTTCTTTATTCTTCTGGCTTTTAGCATCAAATAAATAACACAAAACCAGTCTTATCCCGCTACTCAGCTGGACAGTCATCCACCTACGATCGATCAAATCGACCTCCTGTTTCCGAATTTTCCGAGCTGAATCTGAACGAAGATTCACCTATCTGTGGTACACCAGTCACTGTGGAGGTGATTGGACCACACAATCGTTTGGGCACGAATCACCTACCTCCAACCTCAACATCGCATCCCACCATGTTTTCAGCCCCGGCTGCATTGAGAGATCTGTCTCCACCGAGTCTGTCCAAACAGCGCTCTCGTTCACCGGATTCCACGACCCCACTGTCCGTGATAGGAGGGACAAGCAATAGCAGTAACAACAGTAGTGCCCCACGCTGGTCCACAACCACAACCAGTGTGACCTCTAAGACCACGACGCATAACAATCCTTCCGTCTATTCCGGTAAAACAAATCTGATCGGGGATGTTCGGGGCAGTCGAAATGGTGGAACTGTCGGTCTGAACAATCTGGGGAACACGGTAAGTGCACAAAATGTTTCGATGTAAATTACTTTCGTGGAGATTATTTCTCTCATTGTGTGTTAGTGAAACTTTTGTGGCCCGATTGTCGATCTGGATTGGCAAGTGAGCATCAAAACATCTTTCAGTTCAAGACATTATTATTATTATCATTATTTTTCTCGTGCGCAATAAAGTATGTTTTATTCACTGAATGTATCAATTGTCGAGGTTTTAATATTTTTTTACTGTTTCCCCAAATCTGTTAGGTAATAAACTGTGTCAATATATTTTCATATCACATGATGCATTTGTATTCATTTACTTAGTTCTCAATTGGTTAGTTTTCCTGCATGCCGTACAGTGCATGCACTGCATTCAGTTTTAAGACCTTATGAATCAATGTTTGTAAATATCTACAGTCCATTGCTTTCACATTGTGAATTCGAGGTCACAGATGAGAGCTTAGTACTCAGTACTGGAGTTTCGTTTACCTGTTTATCGCAATTCAGCAAATAAAATCAAACATGTTTTGATGCATGGGATGAAAAACAGCATCTGTTCTGCACAACTGAGCACGAATAAAGAAAGACCAAAGCATTATGACGAAGATTGAATGAGGAGCCCGGAGGGTAGCACACAGCAGTTCAAATTGTTCTACCGATATTTCTAATGGTAAAGAAGGCTGGTTTCATAAATTCTACTTCAGTTTGAGACTTTTTCAATGCGCAGAATTTTTCATTTCATACGTCATCTTTGACTGACGTGATCTGTCCGTCTTTTAATTTCGATTCCGATGGGTGCTGCACCCATGCCTAAACACAGTACGTACCTTAATCACCACAGTGGGACAAAAACCAAATGTCGGTTCCGGGGGATTACGCGTTGTTTACCAATTTCAATCTCAGTCACGTTTCAGTCGTGAAGTTCCGGTCCCCGTAACAGAATTCGCAGTAATGTGTAAGGGCAGTTAGTTCACGTTATGGTACTGTGAATATCCTTGTCGTTGGACTCAGTCGTACAAGTTGAATCAAATCGCCATGTTGACGCCAAGCCTTTCACTTTGCATATGACTGTACAGTTAGATGATATTGTATTCAGAGTGCAGTGTTTATATCCTCAAGTCTTTCTTTATTCACTTCATTTACAGCTTTTAATTTCATGTCGTATTCGAAACCTTTTTTCAATTTCAATTTATAAAACCTATCCGCGCACATTACTATTCCTGTTTTGGTTACTTTTTTCGCTCATCCGAACTACGATTACACAAAATCAGTTCACTTTTTATAGGATTCATCAAATAATATGAGGTCGCCAGTGCCATAATTGAACGGCTACTGAACGTTGTTTTAGGGGACAAGAAAGTTTTAGTCAGATGGTTTCTGTTGCTTGTTAATATGCGTTTAAAATGACAAATTGCTCAAAACTTGTGACAGACTGGAAGAAATTTCATTTTACTGATCACTTATTCAGCTTTTATCATTTACTGACTCTGTATTAATCCTTTCTGTTCGCATTTAGTAATGTGAAATTATTTTCTGTTTGGATTGCAGTGTTTTATGAACTCCATCATTCAGTGTCTGAGCAATACAGCCCCTTTATTGGAATATTGTCTCGGTGATCGATATTTGGAGGAGTTGAACAAGTCTAGCTCGATGCGAGGTACTCTGTTTGCATGTGAGTCTCGAATCCTGATCGTGAGAGAATCTGTTTCGTTCAGCATTAAAAGGTTATTCTTCATATTATCATTACTGCGGGTAAAATTGAAAAAGTGAATTTCCTTTTAATCTGCTAGGAAAAGAAAGTTGCTAGTGATCAGAATGAGTTTTCGGTTTCGTGTTGTGTAACCGTTTGTTTTACATTCCCGTGATCCGTTTTCGTTCGCTATCTTTCGAGTTCGCATGTGC